TTCTTCTTGCTTTGTTTCTTTTTCCCCTTGTATTGATTTGGCACTACACTGCAATAATAAAAATATCTCCTATTAAAAATTGTTGGACAAACATTTCTTGTCATCCCCTGATTTTACTCTTAAAAACAAATATCCACCATTCAAAAAATTATAGTCATACAGAAGTTAAATACAGACATACAGATTTATGGATGATGCTTTAAATGTTCTCCACCCACAGCCCCAGTTTTGCAGGGAATTGAAGCATTACCTCCACCAATTTAGGAGCCACCCCAGTGAACTCACCCATTCTGGGTCCAGACATGAAGGAGGAAAGGACCATGTCTGAGGTTTCGCCCTGTTCATCCAGGTCTTCCAAGAAATGGACACCAAGCCCAGAAGCCGCCCACAATCTTTGTTAGAGGAATCTCTTCGGAGTGAAAAATGAGGTGGCAACCAGGAAAGACTGGGAAAGCATGAGACAGCTTGCAGTGCGGGAGAACAGGGCTGCAGGGGAGAGAGCGGCACCCAAGACCGCTTTGGGATCTAAGGACAGAACCCTGCCCACAGTGATGTGCCTGTCCTTGCTGAGTCCTTGGCTTGGGGGCAGCCATGAGGACCTGGGGACCCCGGGGACACAGGCTCTGTAAATGCTGCCTTAGGCTCCAGGGCACAGTCACAGACCCTGTGCTGGCTGAGCTTCTGTGCTTAGAGCTCTGTGTGTTCCTTGCTCCGGGGTCAGATTCCAAGACAAGCTCTGTGGGCATCAACGGTGGGGAACATCTCTGTGTATAGCAGGTCTTTCCCAGTGTTGCTTTTCGGGCTCTGTGCCACAGGACTAGGAGCAGCCTCCAGGCTTACTCCCCCACAGAGCCAGCAGCCCTCACTTTGCTGGCTCTGGACTGGGCCAGAAGTCAGCAGTGGGAGGCAGCAGGGCTGCTGTTAGAAGGCTTGGACCTTCTACCTGGGCCACGGGCCCTCTGTCCTCCAGCTCATTCTGCAGCCCCCATAGCACACAGCTGCTGGGGGTTCGCATCCTCAGCATCCTCTGTATGCTTGGCCTCCAGAACCTCTGAGAAGGGGCTCAGCAGAAAGGTGGGCAGGAGGCATTTCCAGGTAATCTGGGGAGAAGTTCATTTTGTACCATGAAATCCCTCCCCCTCAAAATCATTCAGACTTGATCATTCTGCCTATAGAGATAATACCATCTGCGTTTTTTGTTGTTGTACCAGGTATTGAACTCAGGACCTTGCACTTGCAAGACAGGAGATGGAACCACTGAGCTAAATCCCCAGCCCCAATACCATCTGCTTTTACTCACAGGTTACTAATGGGAGATTCCATGATTCTCAAAGGCACTTTTGCAAGGGTCATAGGCCATTTGTTGGTTCTGGCCAACTATTTCTCGATCTTTCATTCATTCAGTAGACAGCAGTGGGTACCCTTCCCTTGCTCTCTCACACGCACGCGTGTGCACACATCTTTAATGTAAATATGTATGTGTGCCATTATTTATGATCATGTACATCTCACTGCTTTCCTTCACAGAGCCTCTCCTGTGTGGAGAAGGCAGTGACACGGCCAGGTCACAACAGGATGGGGATGGGCTCTCATGCAATGACAGAAGGTTTTCCAGGACATATGGCAGCATAGCAAGTGCTCCCAGCTCAGCCCAGGTTATGGATCAGGTTAGAGGTCACGCAGGGGTCAGTGGGGTTTTTGGAACTTCAAGTGGAACCACAACATGTCACTAAGACTTAGAAGGACAGAGGGGAGTGACCCCAGGCCTGGGGCACAGCACAGACAGGGGCAGGAAGGAGCTTCACGTCTCCACCGCCAGAAGCCTTCGAGCATGGCAGGGATGTAAGGTGAAGGTGAGGTGTGGCTGGGCAGAGCCCAGGGGGGCCAAACTGAGGAAAGCCCACCATGCTGGGTCAGAAGATGTCGACACTGCAGTGCTCAGCTGCAGTTTTATTGAGCCTTCAGATCCCGGGGAGAGGACAGAACCAGGTGGGGCATTGAGACTGGCCCCTCTCTTGAACAGTTAGGGAGCCTTGACCTTCCTTCAGTAAGGACAAACCTCCTCCAAGAGCCAGAATCCTTCCTCCTGAGGCATTTTGTCCTCCTGCTGCCTCTGCTATTACAGCACTATCCTCCCTTCCTGAACCTCCGGCCCTGGACAGACCTGGAACCACAGCAACAAGGAGGGTCCTGCCCTCGAGAGTCTCACAGCCTAGTAGGAGAGAGAGATAAAGAAAGGGATGCTGGGGATCAGAGTCAAAAGTGCCACAGTGGGTGCAGGGGATGGGAGACCAGAGGACTGGCGATGACCCCCCCCCCGCAGTCCCCTGGGTAGAAGTGAGGAAAGATTTGGATATGGGGAGGGGTGGGGAGCAGGGTCAGCCAGGTCTGGTCACGGTCCAGTCTGTGCAGCACAGCTCACACCCCAGAACAAGCGGGGAGAAGAGAGGAGTTTGGACGATTGAAGTGTGGAGGCCCAGTGTACTCACCCAGAGGACCCCAAACGTTATGCACATTTTCACAGCCAGATGCCTTTGCTTCTGCCTCTTCCCCATCTTTCCTGCCTGAGAAGCTCTTTATTGCTCCAAACCATCTCCAAATGCCCTCCACTGACTCCGAGAAGCTACTCTGAGCCACACCCTGCCCTTGCTGTCCCTCTCCTGCATCGGTGGGTGTCTCATGAGAATGGGCAGCGTCTGGGGTCCTCATCTTTCCAGCCAGAAAGCCCCAGATGAAGGCGGGCCCTGTTGTCTAGAGAGGTTGCACCTGCCCCCGGCATAGATCAGAGCAGGCTGGGAACGAGGAGCAGGGACTCCCTCGGCCAGGTCTCTGGAAACTCCAAAGGGAAAGATTCGGACTAGAAGACAATGAAAGTGGCAGCTTCAGAACATGAGCTGAAGGGATAATAGAAATGAAGGCCAGACTCTGTCTGCCAGGATCGCTTTCCCACCCACATTCCTTCTTTGTAGCTGATGGAGCTTAACTGGTGGTGCTTTGGCGCACACACACACACACACACACACACACACACACACACACACACGCATATATTTCCTCACCCAGCACCACTGGTTGGAGGTTAAAACTGGCAGCCAGTTGGGCAGAGGCCAGAGGTGCTGTCTAATGTGATATCTATCAGGCAGAACACTTTCCGACCCAATGGTCTTTACATGAGGCTGAGAATCGTAAGCCAAGCGGGACCACGTTGGGCATGACTCAGGCGCCCTCCTGAGCAGATTCACCCTCACCTGCTTCCATGAACACCAGCTCTTGCCGCTTTCAGTTAGATGAGGTTTCTGGAGCATGCCGAGCTGATGGGCCAGGTTACTCAGCTGTCCACTCGGTGAAGAGAGACAAAAAGCTTCTGACGGTTCCTGACCACCCATGTGCTTTACATCAATGGGAGGAAATGTGAGAAGGAGCCTTTAGAGAACAAGTTTGTGGCCAAACAGGGACCCCAGCTCCCATCTCTTGGTCCTTAGGCTTCACTCATGTGCCCAGCCTGAGGAAGCGCTGGCCAAGCGGTGGCCACATCTGTGTCTGGGTGTGGGACCCCCACCCCACTGGAGCTATACCTCAAAGCAACATTGTCCAAAGTATGGTTTCACAACCATCAGCTTCACAAGTAGCTGCAGAGCTTGTGAGAAACGCTTTATTATGATTCCCATGCCACACTGGCTGGCTCCCACTTGAGTGAGAGTGCAGGATCAGAAGGTGGGATGAGCCGGGCATAGTGGCATACACCTGTAATCCCAGCACGTGGGAGGCTGAGGCAGGAGAATTGCTTTGAGTTCGAGACCAGACTGAGCTACATAGTGAGTTCCAGGTCAGTCTCAACTACATAGTGAGACCTTGTCTCAAAAACCCCCCAAAAAGAAGGTGGGATGAGCCTGGATCCCAGCTAACTTTGATGAGGGGGAAACTCCTCCCACTTAGTTATAAAGCCCTTCGTGGGAGGCCCCACCGTGTCTTCACTTCCTTCCACCAGGGCTTATCTCAAGAACTCCAACACAAACACACATCTAAATAAAACCCCATGCTTCACACGCAAAGACAACTTCAGAAGAGTCCCAAAGCTGTGAAGACCAGTCACCCCAAACACCAGAGCTACCCCAGTCACTCCTTTAGGAGCTCCCACACACATCCAGCACACGGCAGGCACTAACAAAACAAGCATGGAGTTGGATCTTCAGGTATCCTCACTGTCTTTCTGATATTGTCACCTCCCCATCTTGTCCAGCAGTGGCGGGGTGGCAGTGTTTGTGCTGACCATTCTCCCTCTCTCTTTCTCTCTCATTTATAGGAGGCCATGCTCTGGACACCCCACACCTCCCACAGGAGCTGACTCCAGGATTCTCAAAAAATATGAGTAAGGATTCTCTGAGCTTTTCTTGGGACCTGTGTACAAAGTTGTCTAGGATATTGGCAGCAAAAATGACCCTTCCAGATATACCTTAGAGCCAGTTACTGGTGTGACATTTGTAAGTAAAGTGATTCAAGGGCATCTCAAAAAGCATTTCTCCAGTAGTCTCCTTGGTGTGGAGCCCACCAATAGACTCTTGCCACCCTTCTGCAACAGGAGGAGTGGAACCCACAGTACTGAGGGCCGGGGTCCCCCATAGAGCAGCCACAGAGCAGCAAAGGCCTGGAAGCTTCATCCTCTGTAGGAACCAAGATCCCTAGTGAAGTCCATAGTTGTATTGTTTAGGATTCCAGTAGAAACAAGCCCAGGTACAAGAGTCACCACACTGATGTAGAGACCCTACGATGACAATATTTCAACAGCAGCTATCGTTCATGGTTTGTTCCAGTCCAGATACACTTTACCATCCAGGGACCATTTTTACCACTGAGCAACGTTGCCTAGAAACATAGTTCACAGTTCATCTTTACCAGGTTTCCAAGGTAACCTGCATCCAAGAAAGTTACCTTAAGGTCAAATTTGTTCTTTGAAAATTAGAAAAGGTTTGACCATACTAGGCAGGGAGTGGGGAAAGGGAGAAAAGCATGATTCTTTAATGCCTTTTGTCTTTCTTCCACTTAGGTATCACAATCTTCAATGGTATATTTAAGAATTCAGAAAGTTTGGCTGAAATATTTGGTGAGTTAAAGGGAAATTGCTTTCATCTGCCAAGTGTCAGGCATGGGAGTATGTTTAAGAAATCTGAGGAAATGACCAGGGCCTGTCTCTGCCTCTGCGTGGCTGCCTCCCCAACTAACTGCCAACATGTCATAGGGACTGACAAGGGTAGGGGTGATTTTGTTTTCTGTGAGTCACTGACCACATGCCTTCACATTCCTTACTTCATTATCCTGCCTACAGATCTGGCAGGGGAGACGTGGGAATCCTGTTTCTCAGGTCTGAAAACTGAACCTAAGAGAGCTAAATGATTAGTCCAAGGCCACACAGCCAGAAGGGAGCCACCCTTCGGGGTCCAGAGCTGAGCCCTACAACAAAGTAGTTTTCATCCCCCACCAACTAGTAACGTATGCACAGAGGCACAGGATTTTAAAATCCATCAAGCATTCCATTTACCACTGTATATCTATTATGCAGCTACTGGGACTCCACAGTGGTCCCTACCATCAAATGTAAACAGCTCCTCCAAGTATGATGAGACTCTGATTGGCCTGAGTGAGGGGATTGAGACCCACTGTTGGGTCAGACCATGCTAGGTGTGATGCTACGTGTAAAATGTGTGTGTGACCAAGTGCAGCTGCCCACTGCATTCCTAAATGGAAATGCTTATGTATATAAACACATACACATGCAAACTTTAGAGAGCCTTTGTTTATCAGCACAAAATCATTTTTTTTTTGTTTTTCTGGCAAGGCTTTGTAGAGACAAAACATATAAAAGGAAGCTTGAATTAGATGGGAAAAAACTGGGACAGGTAGATGTCCCCCCATCCACTCCTTGATCTCCCCAGGTTCCCTCTTTCAACTCTGTTCATTATCAGCACTATGGGGTAACCTCCTCTAGTAGCCCCTGATCACAAAGGTAGAGAGTGGGGAGACGAGCATGAGGTCTATAATCAGAAACAATCAATATTGTTTTCTTGCCCTTTTTGTTTCTCGATGACAATTTTAAGGAAAACCACTCTCCCTGGTTGGTCCCGTGTGCATGTTTCCAACCCTCAGTGTCCTCACCTGTAAAGTGGGGGAACAATTAGCATCCACCTGGCAGGGCTAATATGAAGCTTAAGGCACCATAGACAAAGGAAACGCTTTCTAACACATTACACTCTGTCTTCATTATTGTTTTATTGAAACTACCTAGAGCATCTCTGGCACACAGCAAATGCTCAAAATTGTATATTTATATCCCTTTTCTTTCTACACTGCCTTGTGGGTTTTTATGGTGTCAGCACTGTGTCATTTGAGATCCACTTGGCAAGAAACAGTGCCCCAAATCATAAGGACACTTCATGTCCTCACACTACTGTCCGAAGATACCAGGACTTGTTTAGTAGTTCAGTGCAGGGGTCAGAGACCCAGAAGTTTCACTCTAACTTGCTCCTCTGCCCTCTTGAGCATATGGGCTCCTCAGTTTGCTAATTTGTTTTACTTTAGGCTTTGAGGTCCATGGTTACAACGTGATTGCTGTAGTTCCAGTCACAGTGCACATATTTTTATTTGAGAAAGGATCTTTTTGATATGTCTTTATTCTCTACTAGACAATGAATATTTTCCAGAATTCTGTAGCAGACCTCTGTCTGTTTCTCTGTCTGTGTGTCTATCTACTTATTTATTTTGGACTAGTTCTGGGTCACATGCTCAGCCCCAGACCAACCATGGGCATAGCAGCATGGAATTACCATGACCAGCTGAGAATGATCAATCTTAGGAAGATGATCCACCTTCCCTACGCACTTTCCAGTTGTTGTTATGAGAAAGAAGAAACAAATAGCTGTTAGGCAGGCAACCAGCCGAGACCATGGCATATAAGCCTGCAACCCTGCTTCCTGTTGTCTAGAACAGCACTGAGTACTCAGTAAGCACTTACTAGGCTGAGATGCCCCATCAGTCCCAAGTGTAGGAAGTTCCTGAGACTGGGTCCATCCCAGACTCCTACTCCCCGTGCTCACCAGGCCTTGCTCTTCTCCCCTCCAGACTGCCTAGGCCCCCACTTCAGCTGGCTACAAGCCGTCTTCACCAACTTCCCTCTGCTGCTCCAATTCGTGAATGGCATGCAGTGCGTGGCTGGTTTTTGTCCCCGGGACTTTGAGGACTATGGTTGTGCCTGCAGGTTTGAGATGGAAGGGCAGCCTGTGGATGAATCTGACAGGTGAGTAAGATCCACAGGGGAGCTCCTGGGGACCTGGTTGGTACCTTGGACAGAGCTCAGCTGTAGAGAGCAGCTTGTACTAGGGACTCAGAAGGAGTCTATTCCACCTCTGAGCACTGCTGTGTTGGGATCAAGCCATTGACAATAAGCTTTTGAGGAACACTTCCCACCCAGCTGATGTTACCCTGAGGGCAAATACAGTGCTTTCACCTGTGTGGGCTCATAGCAGGTGGGGAAAGAATCCCGTTAGTGGTGCACCGGACAACCCACAGCTGCCTGGGATTGCTCCTTGAGGGCACCCTCTCTGGGTGCTTTGATTCCTAGGTGTCAGGGCAGCCTCTGTGCTCCCCAGACATCTGGGATTCTTTTTCCTGCACCCACTTCATAGGCAAGGACGTGTGCACAACACCTGTTTTCTCTTTAGTCGTCGTCCTCGGTGGGGCTCTCACCACACCCTTTGTACCCCCCGCACCAACCGACCACAGGAGCTGGCACATGGGAGCACCTCAGGGGACCAGCTGACTGACCTGGCTGACACTCTCCAGTCCTTTTTCACAGATGAAAAGTAACTAGACCGATTAATTAAAAAGTCACATATTCTTAATTGACAAAGAAGAATGGCTTTAATCTGTCCCACTTCCAGATTTGCAAGAGAGAGAAAGAGTGCAAGTTGCCTGTAGACCAAAAGAGCAGTTTCCCAGTTCAGGAACCACAAACAACTCAAGTTCCATGGTCTTTGATATTCAGGGGGAATATGTTGGGTCTGCATGGACCAGGGCCATCCTTTCAGACCCTCCCATGCTATGTCCCTTATTTGTTCCAACAATCTTCTAAGCCTAGAAATCAAACAAACGAAACAGGAATTCATCCCTGGCTCCAACCTAAAAAAAAAAAAGTATCAAAGCACCAATATCCCCATACTGGCCGAATAGTGGGCTAAATCAAATTTCAATTACTCTGCACAGTTAGATGGATAGGGACAGGGAACTCCAAACTCTCAGAGGACAGGTTCTTCCACCTTGAATTTGCACACTAGATTCCAAAAATTAACTGCAACTTATTTATTGAGTGCCTCTTGGGTGGTAGGATCTGCATAGACATTTCCCTGAATCCAAGAAACTCTTGTGTGTTAGGTGGCAGGAACAATTCAGTGGCTTGTCCAGAGTCATCATCTGTCTGTGTATGTTTCTTCTTTTTTGCAATGTGTTCCACTGGTATCCTATCTGTATTGCAAGAGCCACCTGACCTCCCGGTTTCAGCATCAGCTTGGTCTCTTGGGACCATCTCGACCTTAGGTGGGCTCCAGAGCACATGTGTCTCTGTGCCCACATATGTGAATGCCCTCAGTGACCATCACCCTGCTGCACTGGATCTGTGTGATGGCGAGATGAGTTAACATGTGTCAAATACGTAGAACAGGGGCTGGTTCATGTAGGCACTCTCTCATGTCTTTGGTTGTTCTGTTACGGCAGCCTCCATGCTGCGAATTGGCTGAACATCTACACTTTGTGGTCGTTTTGATTTTGGGGAAGAGCCAGAGATTGCACCATGCCAGATCTGGAGGATAAGGTGGATGGGGATGCACCATAATGTCTTTATCTGTCTGCCTTTTGGTTGGATCACCTCGATAGCAGAATTCACTGTAGTTTTGGTTGGTTCTCATAAAGACACTCACAAGAGAGGATTTCCAGAGCTGCTTCAGAAAGTAGCAAGACTGCAGATGGGATAAGTGTCTTAGAAGTGAGGGGGGATATTTTGAGGGGGAGATTAATAGCAATGTGTCTTTTATTTTAATAAATTTTCAAAGTTAAACATGAATCAAATATTTTGATCACCTTTGTATTATCAGCGAATATCGACTGAATTATAAATAAATTTATTTTGACTTCTTTTGGGGAGGGGGTTATGGGGATTGAACTCAGGCCCTTGCCCTTGCAAGGCAGGCACCAGAACCACTGAGTTAAATTCCCGGCCCAATAAAGTTATTTTGAAGAGAGGTAAACAACTTGCCCCAGACAAATCCCAGGTATCAGTGGAGCCCCAATTCAGATCCTCCACTTCTGGCTTCAGAGCCCAGGCAGCATTCTTACCCCAGAAGTGGCAGGGCAGGTGGCTTGTTGGGGGCAGTGCCCCTCCCCACAATGCAAGCTCCCCTGTAGGGAAAGGGTAGTGGAGAATTACAACCCTTCCCTTCATGGCCCAGAGGCAGGGACTCCCAGGCTGGGAGATCACACACAGAACAGCTGCAGGGATCACACACAGAATGGGAAGGTCATTCTTACTGACTATCTGCCCCTTCTTTCCACTTATTGTATAGATGCTGAGATCCATAACTTGGACCGTAACATCTCAGGAGTCAACATCTTTCTTTAAAGTGTGAGGTTACACCCCAACACGGACTTGACTTTGTTTTTCCTGGTCAGTCCTAGCAATTATAGAGCTGTATCTGCCACCACCAACAAACAGGGATGGGGTAGTAAAGTCAGGGCTGTGTAAGGCCAGGCAGAAGAACAGAGATGGAGAGGGGCAGCACAGGGCATGACACCACATATGGACAGTAACAGGAAGTGGTGATCAGTGGAGCATCTAAAGATTTACTGTACAAATGAAGAACCGGGCCAAGCTTAATCTACACCTCCTCCTGAGCCATCTTTAACTACATCCCCAGCTGAGATCCAGGGCCGTCTTGCTGGTTACAGACACCCCATGTTGGACAGGGGCGGTACAGACCTGCCACTTGAGCTTGTGAGGTAGCAGATGACGTGTGTGTGTGTGTGTGTGTGCGTGTGTGTGTGTGTGTTCACATGCAGGGTTTCTGAAACAGACCACTGACAAGGACCATCCAGAGACCAGATGCTTCTGGCTGCTGCCTCTCCCCGGCTCCCCTCCCTAACCCTGCTCTCACCACACCCCTTTTCCCTGCCCACGGCAGCTGCTGCTTCCAGCACCGCAGGTGCTACGAGGAGGCCGCCGAGATGGACTGTCTCCAAGACCCCGCCAAGCTCAGCGCAGATGTGGACTGTGTCGGCAAGCAAATCACATGTGGTGAGCATCTGTGGGCACCCCCGGGCTATGCTGAGAAAGGCCAGCAGAGGGCTTCCAGGCCCACCTGCATCATCACCAGCTCTGCGACCCCTGAGGCAGGATGGGCAGCAACTTCACCTTCCGTGCAGTCCATCTGTTTTTAACTGAAGAAATACGTGATCAACAGAATTTTGACTTCCAGTGTTCCCTTTTTATTAATGTATGTTTGCAATACATAATAAGTACATTCATCATGGGGAACTGGTACATATAATTACCACATCCTGATCCTTCTTACTCGCCCTTCCCCTCCTCTCCCTCCTGTCTCCCTGTCTCCCCAGATCCCCTTCCCATCTCCATATAGACAACCTTTCTATTTCCTATCATTTGTGGTTGACTCAACTCTTTAAATTACTTAGACTTTGGATTTCCTAGAAAAGAGAAACAAAACATATGCTATGTGACCTTCTGAGTCTAAGTAATATTTCACTTAGCATTATAGTCTCAAGGTGCATCCATTTTCCTACAGATCACTCAAATTTACCTATTTTCATGGCTGAGTAGTACTCCATTCTGTATAAATACCACATTTTATTTAGCTGTTCATTTGTTCATGGACATATAAGCTTTTCCAAGGTTTAACTATTAGGAGTTGTGCTGCCGTAAACATGGATGTACATGTATCCCTACAATATGATATCTCCCACTCCTTCATGATACCCAGCTGAGTCCAATGGAATCTCCATTTTTAGTTTTTTGAGGACTCTTCCTACTAATTTCCATAGTGGTTGTACTATCTGCCATTCCCCCAACAATGTACAATGGTTCCTTTTCGCTACAGCCTTGCCATCCTTTTTTTTTTTTTTTTTTTTTTTGAGTTCAAGGTGAATAGCCCTTCTGTCTGGAGTAAGATGGAATTTCAGTGTTGATTTGATTTTTATTTTTCTAATGACCAAAGATGCTGAACTTTTCCCTTGTACTTATTGGCCACATGTACTTTGAAAAGTGTCTGACTTATAACCGTATCTTTGTAGCAACCCTGGGGGTTTGTGAAAGGCGGAGGGCTTGCCACTTAAGCACTGTATGGCAGCGGAGCAATTACTTAATCCCTCCGAAGTCGAGACGGGAAGGACACAGCCTACTTCAGGGAGATGCTATGGAAATTAAATTAAGCGGTGCTTTACAATGATTAATGCAGTGTTTAGCACATGTTAGGAACTCTGAGAGAGACAGGCTCAGGGTGGCCACTCTTTGTAAGAATTAGACACATGAAGGTTAAAATCTTAACTGTCCACCCTGTTGACTTTGTGACACTGGGAATTTTGTTCCCTGTTTCTGGGCAATCCTGGCCAGAAAAAGTGGAGTAGGCAAAGGACAGAAGGGAGAAGGAATGGAGCGTGCTGGGGGTGAGGGACTGGAGCCATCCATAATACCTGCCTGCTGTATTCCATGATCTCTACACACAACAGGGCAACTCTGATCTTCCAGACTATTAGAGGGGATCATTCCTTGCACTGTTCAGACAAGGAGAGGAAAGCTAAAAGCAATTAGGCAACTTGCCCAAAGTCACACAGAACCAAGGTTTTAACCCAGTTCTAATTGACTCCCAAGGCCAGGTCAGAAGGATAGACTAAAGGAGGGGAAGCCAGGTACACACCACTAGGGAAGGTGCCCAGGGAGCACAGGAAACAGAATGAGATTGGAGGTGGTCAGAGCTGTGGAGGAAAATAACCCTTTGGCACCTCCTAGGCACCACTGGGAAGCCACTGGGAGGCTTCTGAATGGGGAAACACACACTTTGATTTGAGTTTTCATTTGCTCATTTTGGTGCTATCCTGGAAATTGAACTCAGGGCCTTGGGCATAGGCAAGCACTCTACCACGGAGCTACACCCCTGCCCTTGTCCTGAGTTTGAGAACATTCTTCTGGCTCCTGAAGGAGAATAGACTGGTACAGGGGGAGGAGGCAGGAGCTGATTAGGAGGCCACTGACACAACCGGGCAGGAGTCAATGGTGGAGTGCAGAGGTGGAGATGTGGTCAGATTCTCAGTCTGCTGGAGGTAGGGCCCATGGCGGGGGCCAGGAGATGCGGGTGTGAGTGTGGGACAGAAGGCGTGGGTGTGACCCCCAGCTGGTCAGCCCAGCTGAGGAGGTGGGACTGACATGAATGTGATGTGACAGAGCAGAGTGACATTTGGGAATACACATGAACTCCTGGGATTCATGAGAATCTCGCCGCCCTGCTCTCCCTTTGCTCTTGCAGAGTCCAAGGACCCCTGTGAGCGCCTGCTATGCACCTGTGACAAGGCTGCCATTGAGTGCTTGGCTCGGTCCAGCATCAACTCCTCCCTGAATCTCCTGGATCCCTCCCTCTGCCTGGCTCAGACTCCAGGTAGGGAGAACGGGCTCTGCAGGAGCTAGGGTGAACCAAACAGGGCTGGGCCTCTGCAGATGGCAACTGCAACACCTTCACACCCCCAGACCTCATGCCCTAAATTTCCTGTGTGTTTTCCTTTCAGAGACAACCAGCCAGAAAGAGCTGGCAACACTGCTGCCTGGAGGTAAGGCTCCCAGGGGAGAGGGTGGATGGTGGTGAGAGCAGGTAGAACCACATCTTCTGCCAGGCCTGCCAGGCCAGGCTGGAGCAATTTATGGCACTGTGCCCAGCTCTACGTCTCTGGCCAGGAGACCTGAAATCATTTCAGATAACCCCTGCCGATCATCTCACCTCCACTGGCCCCACTATAGACTCAGTCCCTTGATACTAGACACTGGTGGTATGGCCATGCACTGGATCGAGGTGTAAACTTAATCCAGAGAGGATGTGCACCCCAAGTTCTTTCTGTATCCCTCCTCACTCTATAGTCAGAGCCTTACTACACAGTGTAACCAGGCCAAGACCTTGTCGTGCTGGGTGAACCCCTGGATGTGGTGGCCTCCAGGAGCAGACCTAACCTGTCACCCTCCCTTCCTCCATGTGCTCCCCAAAACCCACAGCGGAAGTCTGGGTCTGATGGGGCTGCTAGAGGGAAAGATGGTTTGCATGTGTGTCTCTTCAGGACAGGGCAGGTTCTCAGCAATTGCCCACTGCACCAAGCGAAGGAGGAGTTTTACTTTAAAATGTGAATCTTAGGAAAAACCCAGAGTCTCCATGACCTCTCAGATCCAACGCCTTTGGGCCTCCAGAGCTGGGAAGTCCAAGATGCTCAACAGCAGAGCCCCTCTCCTCTCCAAGTCAGGGCCCTTTCTCTCAGAACCAGCTGTGTAGTGTTTGTTAAAGAGGCAGCTGGGGTGTGTGGGGGTATCAGGGTGTCAGTACATGTGTGTATGTGTATGGAGTGCACTTGGACATGTATGGGGATGTGTGTGAACACATGGAGGTGCATTGTGGGAGCCTACAAATGTGTCTTTGAGGTGTGTGTGCATGTATATTGTATCACTGTGTTGTCTGGATCCAGTGCTCTCTGACCGTCCTCATGAACAAAGTTGTTTCTGGATTGCAATACCCTGGGACATGCAGTCTTTCTATTCCCTTAAGCCATATCTGGTAGAGCCCTCCTTTTCCCACAGCACCCAGCAGTGGCTATGGCTCCTCCAGAGCTCTGGCCTCACCAGCTGCCCATGTTCCAGGAGGTATGAGAGAGCAAGGGAATCCTCAGACAGAAGGGACAGCTTTTCCAGGGCAGAACCTTTCTCAGCCCTCTCCTCCCTTGGTCCCCATCCTGTTTGACACTTGATGCAGTGGTCATTTCTATTTGGGGGGCTCTTTTCCCAGTGGTTCCTGCAGAACCCACAGACACCAGCCTGACAGCACTCTCAGGAGAAGGTGAGCAGAAGGGGGCTGGCTGTCCCCCAACATCTCTCTCTCTCTCTCTCTCTCTCTCTCTCTCATTTGTTCCTTCTTGACTTGTTGGCACCAGGTCCCCTAAAATGTCCCCTAGCTGCTCTGTTATGGAGCAGACTCAAGCATATTCCAGAGCCCTCCCTGGGTTCTTCATGACCCTCACGTCTCTTCCTTACTCACTCAGCTTTCTCTTATACTCTGGTTCCCACCCTGTGGAATCACAGGCAGTGTGCAAAGAGCTCATTCAGCTGGATTTGAACTGAGGGGAATAACAAATGCTTTCTATAGTATACTTTCCAAGTGTTACATGGGTCACACACCATGCAATACTGAATTGCTCATCTGAAATCCCAGTTGAGTTGGGCATGCTGCGTTTCAGCTTGCTAAATCTGGCCACCTATCCCTTAGGGAGGTCATCTGTCCTTTACTTCCCAGAGTCTGCTCCTTCCCTCCTCTGTTGCCACTGTGGCTGCACCAGGAGGACAGAAGCAAAGGCCATAGTCTGGCTGATTCCTGACTGACCCTCAACTGGCCAAGGGCATCTCAACTCCAACAGCTCCAACATAGCGCAAAAAGAATCCTACTAGTCCAGATGGGAGAGCTTGTGAGGGGAGGAAGCAGAGCTTGTCACTGTCCTTGCCATCATGAAAGGACACAATTAGATATTTGAATGGAACCAGATCTGGGATAGAAACTTTTTCAGCCATTGTGACTTTGCAAGAGTATTTTAACCTCTCACAGGTCCAGATTTGTCATTTGTAGACAGCGGGGATCACCAAACTTCTTCAAAGGGCCAGAGACTAAGCATTTTGGGCTTTGTAGGCTGTGGAATCCGTCACTACTCACCTCTGCCACTTAAGCACAAAAGCAGTCTTAGATGATTTGCACCTGAGTGGGTGGAGCTGTGCTGCAGTAGAACTCTATTTACAAAAGCAGGCCGAGGGCCGGGCCACAGTCCACCAATCCTGGAAAAGGCATGAGTGTGGCTGTCCTTCAGTGTGGCACAAGGGTGAAATGAAAGTGAGAGGAGACTCGGGACCGTGTCTTCTGGGAATTCTAATGAGCCGCACCAGACAAAACATACCACAAGATGAGTGCTGGAGCATTTGCTGAACACACATAATCTCATTTATTTGCACACGGTCCAGTGAGATAATTGCTACAACCTCCATTTTAAGAAAATAAATTGAGATGCAAAAAGAAATTGTCCAAAACACACAGCTGAGTGACAGGGCTTGGGCTAGGGCAACAATCAATGCTCCGTCCTTAATTCTAGACCACAGCCCCTCACAGCTGCCTTCCCAGAGCCTTTCTAACTTCACTTCCAGAGATGCTTCTTGCTGTTCTTTCTGCCTACACTCAGGTCTGGCCCTGGCTTGATCCCCCATGCCCTGGGGTCCTACTTGAGCACCCAAAAGCAGCCAGCCCTGCCCCTGACCTTGTTGCCACAGGATTTCTCTTCTGATCCAAACTCATTTCTCCTGCACCTGACCCGTGCCTGGCTCGGGTACCCAGATGGATCCATATCTAAAGCCAGGAAGTTTCTTTTCACAGTGGCTGCTGAGTCCAGAGCTGAGAGACTGACCACTCTTGCAAGAACAAGTAAGAGAAGGGACCTCGGGAGAGGGTGGTGAGAGAGCCAGTGGTGTCTGGTTCTGGTAACCTCTTCTCAATGGGGACTGGAAGAAATACTATTATACCCATTTGTGCAGGGGGCTTAGCTTAGCAGTCCTTGGTTCTGAGTGCACAGATTTCACTTTTTTTTTCTGGTAGTGCTAGGAATTGAACCCAGAGCCTTCTCACTGAGCTAACTCCTCAGCCCCTTTTTAATGTATTAAAAATCACCAAGTTTCTCAGGCTGGGACAGAATATTTAGGACACCAAGGCTCAGCGAGCTTAAAAGTTTAGTCATCCAGCAAGTAGCTTGGTGACCTGGCCTCTGACCTCAGGTTTCAGGCTGTAAAACTGTTTTCTTCCCATAACCTAAGAGTGAGATATAGAGCACACAGCCTGACCTAAAGGAATCTATGTCACATTTCATTGGCAGAATTAGCCTAACCATTTACTTTGCCTGAGGTCACTATAACCATCCATCCTTTATTGACAAATTTAAGTAACTGTTAATAACTCTTTGCTGATTCCTCCAAATAAGTGAATGGTTTCTTTGGTGTCAGTGGCTTCCGACACCCCTCACATGCCTACTCTGAACACGTTCTCCCTCGCCCCACAGGGCCCATCATCACACCCATGTCACAGATAAGGGCCAATGTCATTTGTGCAGGGGGCTTAGCTTAGCAGTCCTTGGTTCTGAGTGCATAGGTTTCACTTATTCTTTTCTGGCAGTGCTAGGAATTGAACCCAGGGCCTTCTAACTGAGCTAACTCCTCAGCCCCTTTTGAATGTATTAAAAATCACTAAGTTTCCCAGGCTGGCTGTGAACTTTTGATCTTCCTGCCTCAGCTTCCCAGAGGACTGGGATTATACTACCTAGGCTTCCTTTTTGAAAAGCGTAACATGTCCCAATTTAGGGTGGTCCAGATCCTCTCTCTTCGGTGGGGTATTTGTGTCCACATCGGTGAACTTAATCTTCATAAAGCACCATCACTGTCTGATTTGAGGGTACTTTCAGTGCAAGGCAGCTCCTCCCTTTCCTCAGAATGTTTTGGTCAGCATCTCTTGCTCTGTGTGGTACAGCCAAAAGTGGAAATGTAGACTACCACAGTGCTTTAGAGTGTCATCTTCAGCCAGGTGACCTGGGTTTGCCTCCTGATGCTTTCTAGCTCTGTGACCTCGGACAAGTACCTTACTGTCCTGTGTGTCCCTTTGCTCACCTCTGAATGGGGGGGGCACAGCGCTGCCAACTCATGGGGTTGTCACTCAGTGAGTTAATATAAAAAGCCCTTGTTGCCAGAGTACACGGCATGCAGTGGGAGCTTAATAACTGCCAAGAGCTCTCTTCACAGCGACGCAGAGGCACCATGGCTTTCCTAGATTCACACAGAAAACCAGGCCAGTCGCTTCAACTCTGCTACCACTGGCCTGAATGCTCCTTTGTTCAAAATGGTGGTTTTCTTTTACTTTTTTCTCTTCAAATTCTGAAGAAGTCGCCATCCCTTCATTTTTCAACAAGCTCACCTGCTTTGGCCTGCCAGTGAGCCTGTGTGGTGGGCGTTCCCTCTGCTCTGCAGGACCCAGATGTTACCAGCTGTCTTAGGGAATGTCACAGTGCGAGGTGGAGCAGGACAGCGGGCAGCTCATGGGCCCCCTGCACCTCAGAATATCAACAGGCTGCAGGCCGAGGTGGCACTTACCTGCCTCTCTTCCTTCTTCTCTTCCCAGAGGCAAGGCAGGATCTGGGAGGCGTGGAAGCTGCTGAGGCCACACCCACGCCAGGTAGGCATCCTTGGCTCTTCCTGCCTTTCTGCCTGTCACTGTGCCCCATAGTTCTACAAAATCAATACATTGCAAGTGAACCCTAGGGCTAAACCCAAATGAAAGCAAGCAAATTATGCATGATTTACCTTCACATCCCCATCCATAAAAGTGCATACGCTTGAAATCAAAAGATCCATTAGCAGGAAGAAATGGAAGATTATCTTGTGAAGAGATGCATTTAGAAAACCACAGCAAACTGTATTTAGTTTTCCATTCAATTCACTTGTAATTCCCCAGTATAAAGATAGACAGTGTTAGTATTTGAAGCTTTTTTTTTTAGTCTCCTCCTCCCAAAGCGAATCAATGGACATAAATAGGATGAACTTGAGTTCATTTGATGGTTGTGATTCTCAGTCTGAGTTGTATTCTTAATACAGTGTAATGCTCTTCCCCGACATTAAATATTTTTTATGCAACATGAGTTGTAGCTGTATAATGATTCTTTCTGTGGAAACATAACTTATTTAACCAAATATTTATAACTATTTTATGGAAGCACCAGAGATTGAACCTGGGACCCTCACTGAGCTGCATCCCAGCCCTTTTTAATTTTGTATTCTAAGACAGGGTCTCAGGAAGTCATTGAGATGCCCAGGATGGGCTTGCCTGTGATCTTCCTGCTGCAGCCTCAGCATCCTGTTGTTTTGTATAACAGATGCACACTTTATCTAAGCCCACCCCTTGGGATTAATTCATTAGGTCAGATGCTTAGAAACAGAAGCACTGGATCAAGGATCTAACTAACCAGCCTTGCAGGTCACAGCAGGTCCTGCATTTAATTCTGAAAAGGCTGAGAAGCTGCTGCAGTCACAGTTGGGAAATGGAGGGGTCAAGGAAGAGGACACAGAACTGTGTCCTGTGAGGCGGCTTCTCTCCCTGCCATTCACTTTGCCTGTTCACTTACCAGGAGCAGAGTCCACATGCCTTTTAGGGACCTAGTGCCCAAACTGCAACCCCGAGCCCACTTACGAATCACAAAGTGCCAGCGCTGCAATTAAACCAGAATACAGAGGTTTTAGTTAAAAAAAAAAAGACCTCATACACTTGGCTCTTGTGCGAACAGAGAGGGCTCTGCATACCCACGGCGGCACATGTGCCATGGGTTCACCACCCTGGCGTAGTCACTTGGCAGGTGCACAGTTGCAAACATGGCACAAACACGGGCTTGTGCAGCTGCCACTCTGCCTTTCATGAGCTGCCTTCCAGGTGGTCTAGAGTAGACTCCTGTTATGGTCTCAATGCAAAAGGTTCCTGAAGGTCTCCTGTACTCAGAGGTGGGGCATTTGGAAGCCGATTGTGTCACTTATGAATTATGGTTGAATGTGCTATAGGAGGTGTTTGAGGAGGTGGGTCACAGGGGCTGTGACCTGGAAGGGTGTGTTCTTGTTCCTGGCTCCTCCCTTTTCTCACTTTTTTTCCCCATGGGCTGCAAGCCTTTTGGTCAATGCCACCCACAACCAGGGTGTATCTCCTGCCTCAGTTTGCTGGCCTATATGCCAGTCACCTCAGGAAACAACCCAAAGATACAAACAAAAGTGTGTCTTTACTAATCTGCTAGGAATTTCTTAATACAGTCAAGTTGACAATCTCAGTTAATGGTCACCACTCCTGTCCACGTTGAGGCAGTCCTAGAAATAACTGCTACGAATGCTGTTGTAGAATTCATGGACCACTGAAACCTGACTTGATGTCTGCCAGCCAAGTGTGAGGAATAATCTCCTGTTGCTTTCACGTTCTAAGATACCCATTGGTACATGGCCTTGACCACATGTCCATGAGCAAATCTCTTCTCAAGCCCCATTTGAATCTGACACAGCAAAGTGTGCATTTGCAGGGTCTGCCGAGATCTTTGCTGCAGCTAAGGTTGTGACACTTGGCCCTTCTGGCAGTAACTCTTCAGGATTGGTTGTTACATCCATTGAAAGCAGTCCTGGGGAAACCACTGGCAGAGGTAAGTGGAAGTCAGAGATCAGAGAAGGCTCTGTCCTCCCTATTTCTGTGGTTCAATGCTTTGGTCTTTAATGGAGCACCTTAAGCCATCTTATCTAGTGTGACCTCTCATGGGTATGACTGGAAGCCGTCTTTCCCCTTCCTGAATGAGCACAGTGGGGTCAAAGGGACACAGCTTGTCTGTTGCTGCTGTGAGGCTGTGAGGCTAAGCCTGGGACAGGAGCTCTGATCTCTTAACCCTAGGTGCTTACTGCTCTGCTCTACTGACTCAAAGAGAAAAAGTCTGGTGCCACCCATATCCTTGTTTGTGGGAAAGATGGAAACACTTGGGTTTCACAGTCCTCCCCACCCCCATGTCCCCTGCTCCCTCTGATGCTGACCAAAGGCCTGCTCCTCCTGTGAGGGTCACAGGCAGCTGGACACAGTGGAGGACTTGGCTGATGTCTGGGTAAGCCTGCCCTGCATCTAGCACAGTGCTCTGGAGCAGAGGAGGAAGAGTAGGGGAAGAAGAGACAGACAGGCTCACACAGAGAGAAGCCAGAGATGGAGAAAAAAAATCAAAGAATCTGAAATGCAGCCCATTGAGTCTGCTAACCGGATGTGACCCAAAAGAGGACGAGACTCCCCCAGGAGATGAGGCTGTGCCCAGTTTTATGGTGTAGCACAAAGAGCATCTCTGGTCCTGACCAGACCCCACCCCTTGGGGAGACTTCATGTAGAGTCTGGTGGAATTGGGAGCTGGGCGGGAAAAAGCTTTCTGTCTAAGACAATGCATGCTATAGAGTCCAGTTCTCTCAGCAGAATGGCAATCCGAGGTAGGGGCACCGGGTTTTCTGGTGCCACCCAGAGTTGTTCTTGCACAACCGGGTATGCTGCTCTGGCCTTCTTTGCTCCCCTGAGAGTCCTTGTCCCTAATCAGCCTGTGACAGGTTCACCTTTCTTCACATGGGAAGTGAGGACGACACTCGGGTGATGGTGCAGCTTGGAGAGATGTTGTTCTGTCTGACGTCCCGGTGCCCAGAGGAGTTTGAATCTTATGGCTGTTACTGTGGCCGAGAAGGAGGAGGCGAGCCAAGGGATGCCTTGGACAGGTCTGTCTGGGTGAGAGTGGCTTTTCAGTGGTGCCGACACTGCCTGCAAATGCAGAGCCCTGGTCTCCACTGGATTTGGCTTTAGGTTCAGAGAGCTTGTGCTGTGCATTTCTTCTCTTGCTGTGGCTTAATGACATGGACCCATTTTCCTGATGAGCTAGTAAGGCTCACTCTGATGTAGCTGAGGTCATTTGTCTAGGACAAGGCAAAACCAGACAGATCCAGATCTCTTGATTGGAAGGCCAGAGACCATAATGCAAAAGCACAAGTGCTCCTCCCCTATGCCAGCTGAGGGGCAAAGACACTGCACACCACCCCCAATTTGCAGAAACCAAAGTGTAGAACTTGTTTCTCCCCTTGATTTACCCTGCAGAAGGCCCATGGAAATCAGCTTCTCAACAGCTTCTATGTAAAACTTCTAAGTTTTGTATCTATCAGTTTTGGAAGAATTTTCACCAGTGCATACATTCATTAACTTATTCGTTCATTTATAAATGCACTCAACCTGGGTTTTCTGTGGTTTTGATCTGTGCCAGGCTCTATGCTAGGCACTGGAGAGTCAAAAATGATTATAGCTAACTAATGCAGAAAAACAACAACAACAACAACAACAACAAAGGAGTGCTTGGGCCCAAAAGAAGCTTTGAATAGCGAAGAGGTGGATAACTAGACAAACATACTGTCCAGTGTAGTAAATGGAATGCAAGAAACAGAGGAAACTATGGGAGTCTCCACCTGAGTTTGAGGAATATTCAGAAAGTAAAGTGGATAACTTCAAAGACTGGAAAGCTCTGCAACAGGAAGGGTGTGTGAGCTCTTTGAACAAGACCAGTAATCATGGTTGACATTGAGAAGAGAAAAAGGCAAAGCTAACTGTAATTAGGTAAAGGATATGGTAATGGAAGGAACCGGGAGTGCGTGGGCTGCTTTAGGCCAAGGCAAGATTCCTGGACTGCAGCCCAATGCCCACCAACCACCACCTTGCTGCTTCCCCACAAGTTCACTGTTAGGCTGAGCTGTTGTACAGTCTGTGTGGGTTTCCAGGGCAGGAAATTGGGGGCAACCTTCAAAATTTACCAGGAGAGCCGAAGAAAGCCTTTGCCGAGTCAGGCAACGTGGCACATGCCTATAATCCCAGCACTCTGGGAAGCTGAGGCAAGAGGATGATAAATTCAAACCCAGCTTGGCCAACCTATAGATTTAGTGAGATGCTGTCTCAAAATACAAAGTAAAAATAAAAAAGGGTTGGGGAAGAAGTTCAATGTGAAGGCCCTGGGTTTAGCCTCCCCACTATGGAAAAATGAATAATTAAAGGAAGTTGTAGCAAATTTTGTGCCAACAGTGTCTAGATTCCTGAGTCCATAGCCAGTGAGAAGACCTCCATAGGAACCCCAACCAGCTACCATCTCTGAGAGGAAGTGGGGATGATGCTGAAGATAAACATTGACCTTATTTCACAAAAATAGGGAATGTGACCAGTCAGACAAGAGAGATGTGCTATGACTTTCTGACAGCCATGGGAAGAAACTAGAAAACTGACAACCATAGGAGGAGCCCTTTACAGTGGGGTTTGTCACGCTGGTACTGTGTCTCCCAGGGTGTGTTCCCAGCTGCAGGTACACTAGGGACCACAGCAGTGATTGAGAGAATGTCCATCATCTCTGACCCACTAACTTCCGGGTGTGAGTGTTATATGATGTGCCCTGCCCCAACCCTGGTGAATGTTCACTGGGCTCCTGTAACTCTGTATGGCAGCAGCCTGGTGCAGCAGGCACTGACCTTTGCCCCTGGACAATGTGAGCATAAGAGGTGGGTGGTGCCTCTGACTACAGGTGACAAGGTCTGTACTGCTGATACCTGGGCTGTTAAAAGCTGCGAGAAGCTGGATGTGGTGGTGCACACTTGTAATCCAAGAACTCTGGGAGGCTGAGGCAGCAGGATTGCAATTTCCAGTCCAGCCTGGGCAACTTAGCACGACCCTGTCGCAAATTTTTTAAAAAATACATATTAAAAGGGCTGATAATGTAGCTCAGTGAAAAGGCCCTGGGTTCGATCTCCAGTACTAAAGAAGAAAAAAAGCAAAAAGCTGCATTTTTCCAAGGGGTATTGAGATATTAAAGGACAAAGAAGAGTTAGAGAGAGAAGACTCGGGGAGCAATTGTAGCTCCTACACCACAACACTGTGTAAAGCTGTCCATCCGGCCAGGGGACTCTAAAGATGGGGGGCGGGCCAGGTGCGGGAATCTAAAAGCATGACGATTCCTCCCCACCCTCACTGAGGCCCTGGGCTGGACTCAGCCCCCAAAGCAGTTCTTATTCACAGAGACTGTGGTCTATTTGAGGCCCAGGTTCAGGAGGGGGGACCACAGATGTGAGATCAACTACTCTACTTTAGGAAAGGCTGGATACAGCAGGGGCACTGCTAGCCCACAGGGAGGCTTCCTGTAAGATGAAACAAACAGCAGGTACCCTTTCCTGAAAGCCTCCATCTGCTGCTGTAATAAATATGCAAATTAGCCTTGTTTACCATCAGCAGCGTCACACTGAGACTACAAGAAGAAAACTGTAAACAATAAGGTGACCCGGGGTGACAGATGCTGCCTTAGACGAGGCATCTCTGTGAGTCCGCAACAGGCCAACCACACAGACTGGGCCTGGGCTGTATGCCTCAGGCCCAGGTGCACTGTGTGGGCTGTACTGGTTTCTCCCCCTCCTCCAGGGAGTATGGGTGAAGCTGGCCTGGGGCTGGGGAAGCTCCGGTGGTAAAGTGTTGTGTTGGTTGTAGGTGCTGTCTGTCCCATCACTGCTGCCTAGAGCAGGTGAGGAGGCTGGGCTGCCTGCTGGAGAGGCGTCCTGGGTCCACGGTGCGGTGCGTGGACCGCACAACCAAGTGTAAGTGCTGCTGGCCGGGTGGTGAGTTCTCCCCTCCTGCAGGTGGGCATCCGGCTGGAGCTCTGCTTCTTTCTGGATGCTGTCCTAGCGCGTCTTTATCTGTAACCTGACTGCGTGCTCCGCCCCACCTGGAGACCCACATCCGTGCCTGTTCCACTGTCTGGCTCCACTTCCAGATCCTAAGCCAGTTGCCTTATGTCACCAAGCTGGGTAAAAGCCCTTGGGGCGACCTGACCACCCCATGGTAGGCAGCACTCGTGTTCCTCCCACTTCTCAGAGACGAACGAGGCCCCGGGCAGAAGAAAGGGAACTGGGAAACATGCTCAGATCTTCACCTTCTGCCATATGATCCTGAGAAGTAGACCTCTTCCTGAGTGAGGACTTCTAAGGAACCCCACTACAAGCGGGGCGGCTCTGAGTAAAGGGAGACATAAAAGCAGCTCCTATCCTCCCTGGAGTGGAAGGTGGGGTCTTCTGTAGCATTCAAAGCCTCCATCAGGGACCATCTGAAAATCGCCTCCCTGCGGTAGCACCTCAGAACTCCCTTTAGAGGTGGCTCTGCCCACGTTCACTGCACTTCCTTCTTCGAACATGACAGAAGATACATTTCCCTCGTGCTCTGCAGCTTAAAAGATGCTTCCCTTGGGAACTCACAGGAGCCCTGAAAAGGCTTGTTCTGTTCTTCGTGTTTGTCTGGGAAGCCAGGGCTGGACCGTTCTTCCTCCTCCTGCCTCTGCTCTCTTTTACCGTGCCATCTTGCTCTGTGCTGTAATGCACGACTGACACATCCTGGGAGCTGTGTGCTACATGTCACTCATCCATCCAGCTACCCACTTCCCCAATGGACCCTCATTGGTGACTAGGAAAATGACAAAATGCATGATCCCTGCTTCAAATGGCTCCCACCCTGCAGGGAGAGACAGGCTGCACCTGTGTGCTCCCTGAGGCATGCACTGGCAGGTGCCCTAGGGCCAGGGGAAGGAATTTCCAGTCTACAGTATGCCAGCGAGGGCCATAGAATGGGGGAGTAGTTGGCAGGGTGGTGAGATTTGATGGGAGTCAAGAGAGCAAAGGGGAAGTCCAAGGACAGGGGAAGGAGAAACACTGTGTCTTAGCAATGCTCGGCAGTTTAGGAACAACACTGGGTGTGTACTGCTGGGGCAGAAAGTAGAGATGAAGTCCTGATAGTGGTGGAGGGAAAGGCTGGGGTAGACAGACAGTCATCAGGTCACAAGCTCAAAAGACCTGTGAGCTAAATGAAGACAGTGACATATCTTCCTACAGGGAAGCAGAGTCAGGGGTGGATTTAGAGCCCAGGAATGACATAGATGAGGCCACACCTTGTGGCTGGAGGCTCCTTCTCTGCCTGTCCAGTGACTCAAGAACCAGGAGAGCAGCACTGCAATGAGACTCCTGCAAAGCACGTGGTCCAGGCCCTCCGAGCTCTGAGCCCTGGGTCTTGGGCCAGGTGCTGGTAACAGAAAATGAAGGCCCCTCAGTGCCTGGTGTGTGCTGTCGTCCTCTTAAGTGCAGGGGACAGACACAGTCACCCTGGAGCCCAGGCCTCAGTATGTCTCACTTAGCCCTGGCTGCCAGATGCACCCCCTTCTCCTATTTCTTGTTGCAACCAGCATATCTGGGTTCCATGTACATGTAATGGCCAGTTTAGTGGGTGTATAAAGACTACTATGTGGTAAAAATAGAAAAAAATGATGAAACATTTCACAATACGACCGGATACAAAACATAGTCCTTTAGCTTCAGTGAAAACTACAGACACAGAGGACTCTGTTGGCAGAAAGCTCATCTATGCCCAGCATTTTCAACATGCCACCATCTTGAATGCAGTCTATGCCTTAAAGAAAAGGCATGTTTGCCAGAGCTAGCAAACAAAAATGCACGAAGCCTAGGTCAATCTGAATTTCAGATAAACAAGTAATTTTTTAGTATAAGTCTGTTCTCAGTGGACATACTTTCAGATATATTACCTAAAATTCACGTATAATTGGCCATCCTGTATATAATCTGGTAATAGTACAGTAGGGTGGTCGAGAAATTCCACCTCACAGACTGAGAAATGCTCATCCAAAGACTTACTACTTCAGGCCAACAGGTACTGCCCAGTGCAAACACAGGAAATACTAGCGAGGATAAAAGTTAGATGCTTGGACAGGCAAGGTCTGCCTTCAGAGTTCTCTGTCCATCAAGATGGAAAAGCGGAAATTGAAACAGACAACACTAGGTAGTATGATTATCTCGTAACCTGCTGTGGAGAAAGAGCCTCGGGTGGGCCCGTGGGCGCCCATAGGAAAGACACTTCCTTTACCCTGGGGCTCAGGGGAGCTTTCTGGAGAAGTAGATGCCAAGGTGAATCTAGGTAGAGGATGCTGAGTCCACTGGGAGAAAGCAGATCATTCCTGGAGGAGGGGAAGGAAGGCTGGACTGCTACCAGCAGAGAGTACCTTGGTGCTTGCGGATGAAAGGGACACAGGGCTGTTGGGCAGGGCTGCAGGTGGGCAGGTGATAGTGGAGATCCTGTGCTCCACGTGATATTAAACACCCACCATTCTGCTCTTGTCCTCCCAGGTATGGGGCAGAGCCTGTGCGAGAAGCTGCTTTGTGCCTGTGACCAGACAGCGGCCGAGTGCATGGCCTCCACCTTCTTCAACCAAAGTCTGAAGTCTCTTGCTGGAAGCGAGTGCCAGGGCAAGCAGATGCTGTGCAAGGACAGTGTGCTGAGAGGGCTCTTGGGTGTCCCTGTTGGCTCCAGCTCTGAGGAGAACAGTGAGGAGATCTCGGAAAGAGCAGATTTCTGAGACAGTCGCCTGTTCTGCCGTGGCCAGGCCACCCCGTGGAAGTTAGATCCCAGAGAGCATAGCATACAAACCCTGCAGTTCTGTCCTGCAGTCCTCTCTGTCCACTGCAACCTTGGCAGAGGGCCTGAGGGACAGATCCAGCGGGTCACCTGGCCACATGCGTCCTACTGTTTGTCCTGCACGGTGCCTGGGGCACCATGAGAGGGCAGACAATGGGCTGTGTACACAGTGGCTGCCCAATAAATATTCCAACCCCTGACCTGTGTTTGCTGTTACTAAATGTTTAGTTGTAAATACTGGTGTATGAGTAGATTATAAAGGTGAGGTGACAGACACAAAAGAGGAAAAAATATTTCAAACTTTCTAACAAGTGAAAGCTCCATTTTTTCTTTTATTAAAACAGTTGGAGCTGGGGATTTAGCTCAGCAGTTCAGTGGCCTGCCTTTCAAGCACAAGGATCCGAGTTCAATCCCCGGTACCAAAAACAAAACAAAACAAAACAAACAAACAAACAAAAAACAGTTGGAGTATATTCAATGCCTTCTGGATCACCAGGAACCCACTAATGACACTTCCTGAGGAATGACAGGGTGGCTCTCCTGGTAGGTGTCCTAAAATTGGAGACCCTACTTCTAGACAGCAGCTATCTGCCAACCATGAGAATCACTGAACCTGAGTTTTTGAAAATAAAGTTTATCCCAGTGACTGGAATTTTGGGAACGCAAAGGCCCCCCTCTACCAGAGGCAGTTTAATGTTATGGTAATTATGCAAAACTGAAGTTATAACCATCCATCTACCTACCCACTCACCCAACAGTTACAGAGATCTTACTGTACAGCAGGCAAAAGGCAAAGCACTACAGAAACCTCCTTTAACATTTGATGGGGACACAGACTCTGTGATTTACTTCATGTTTTTGGCTCTCAAGTCTCAAAACTCATGTGTCCTATTGTAAGATGATCCTTTGTTTCTGCCTGCTCTGCAGACACACGGGAAACCAGACACATGGGAAAGGGGTGTGGGGCTTGCTGACCTTTGCATGGTATGAACGTGTTCTGAACTTGGCAACATTAAAAAAAAATCAAGACATAAGTAACAAGACACCAGGGGAGGAAAAGGAGGGAGAGATAGGAAGGAAGGGGTCAGGAGAAGCAGGGAAACAGAGAGAGAGGGAGGGAGGGAGGGAGAGAGAGGGAGGGAGGGAGAGAGAGAGAGAGAGAGGGAGAGAGAGAGGAGGTGGGGGGAGAGGGAGAGAGAGATCCAGTTTTATCAATGATTAAAATGGCAAAGCAAATGCATGTCACAGATGGTAATGGCACTTGCTATTGTTAATAAGCTGCTTGCTGCCTGGCTCCTCCTTCTTTTCTGTAACCTCACAAGTGTTAGCTAAGTGTCCATACCCCACAGCAGTCACTACTAGGCCAGCAACACAGGTGACCTCCTCCACAGCCTCTCCTGAGGAGGATGAGTGCTGTGGAAGGAAAAATGCACCTGAGCAGACTCATTTCACTTAATGTTCAAGGGAGACTCAATCTTTACTTAGCAAGTTGGCTGACTTTCCTGCTGTCCAAGGTAGGCATTTGGTACCTTTTCTTCTCCCATCTCCCTGTCACTCTGTGGGTGACTGTCAAGAACACTGAGGCTCTTGAGACTTTACCTTACTGATAGCATCACAGGTTAGTATGGGGTCGTGGATGCTGGTGTGAGACAGAGACGATCTGGGTCACAGATAAAGGGCTTTCATATAGCAACTGCAATAATCTTGTGAGCTTCCCCAAGCACAGAAGCAATGCAGAGAGGGCTGTGGACAGCCAGACCCTCGTACAAATAATCTCCACGGCCCAACCACACTGTAGGCTGAGTCATAAAGAGCCAGAACCAGACGATAAATGAGTGGCAATACTTTTCCAGATAGCACAGGATTCTGTTGTGCCCCTTCACACCACAATATGAACCAGTAATAGGAGAAGTAGAGGTTCTTTTCCTCTGTTAGTTTATATGCTTTCTAGCCCATCTTCAGATCTCAACTCCTTTTCTAAGAAAATATTTTGAAAAAGGGAGCAGGCAAACACTTGAAGAAGAAGCTCTTCCTACTACCTAAAATGTTTTCCCAGAATCCTTTTGCAGACTCTTTTTCTAAAGCAACATGGCCCAGGTGTCTCTTTTTCATGAGTCCTATGTCCTTTAATTCCTCATTCATTCTCATTTTTATTATTTATTTTTAATGTGCTTTCTGACTTCCCAATCACTCCTGATTCTCTCAGCTGTGGGCCTAAATATTCACCTTTCCTTTTGTTAACGTTACCTGGCTGCCCCACAAACACCTTAAATCCCTCAAGTCCAAAGTGGGTCTCAGGCAAGAGTCAGACCCTTCCTCAGGAAGCAGAATGTCTGTTGTTAAATGAAGAAAGCATCAGGATGTTGAGCCAAGAAGTTTGAGCTCTGTTTTGTATAGGAAAGTCTGAGTTTCCTGTACTTCAGGAAGACCAACCTGGCAAAATATAAAAAATTAATTAGGAAGAGCAGACTTGGGACAAGACAAGAGTGCCACCTATGCCAATTAGAAAGTTAACATGAAACAACAAAGACAACTCTGTTAGGAAATGGGTAAGAGATTTGAGTAGATATTTCTACAAAGACAAGAAATGGCCAATATATACATGGAAAGTTGATCAACATTATTACGGAGAAATTCAAATTAAAACGAGATGTTACTTCATACCGACTGGAATAGCTGTCATGAAAAAGACAAAAAAACAATGTTGGCAGGGTGTGCCGAAATCAGAATTTCACATACTGCTGGTAGGAGATGGTGCAGTCATTTTAGAAAACAATCTAGCAGTTCATCAAAAAGTTACACAGAGCACTTCCACTACAGTACATTCCCCAAATGAAAACATATTCACAAAATTGTACACAAACATTCCTTACAGCATGATGGAACCAGGCAAAAGCAGAAACAATCACCTACATATTCATCAAATAATGAATGGATGGACTATGGTACATTGAAACAACAATTAGGCCATGAAGGTAATAAAGTTCTGATATTTGTTGCGGTATGGATGGACCTTGAAAATATGCTAAGTGAACGAAACCAGACACAAGACGCCACATATCCTAAGATCCTGCTCATAGGAAATGTTTAGAATAGGCAAATGTGCATAGATAGGCAGCTGACTGGTGCTTTGCAAGATCAGTGTTTAACTTTTTCTTCTCAATTTTTATTTTATTAGTATATGTTTACTGCATTAGACCAGCTTGAAACTGCACTGAGCAGGCTTTAAGATATCAAATTGTCTTGTAATTCGATTATTGATTAAAATCACAAGTCATTCCAAGACCTACATGTGACTTGCTAAATGAGCCTTAGCTGGCTATGGAATAGCCATGTGGAATTCCCTAGGCCAACAGTCACAACTGAGGTCTCAATGATCGATGAGATTGTGATGTCTCTATAGCAAGAAAGCACTACAGCTGAGGACTGTGACTCTGTGCAGCCATTCTCCAAGATCAAATGTTAGCTAAAGATAATGCAGGTGGTTTATTAGCTATGACCTGCAAGATAATACAGATGACTTTGTTAACTGTGACATGTTTGTCACAAGAAAGCATTGTTCCTCCCCTTTTACAAACCGGCTCATTGGAGCCTTATATTTCCTATACCTCACATCTGCCTTTGTGCCCCTGTCATGCTGTGTAAATAATAAATGCTGACAAGTCAGAAAAGAGCTAAGATTGGGTGATCTTAGCCAGGAGAGAGCTAAGATCAACCCTGGGTTTCTAAGTAATAAACAGTCATTCATTTTTCATTCTTTATTCTTTGTATATTATTCTTTCTCCTCTGCTGTACCCTCAGTCAGGCAATCGGGCAACCCCAATAACTATGCAGGCATTCCCCTGATAACTGTCCGGGCATTGCCTTATATTTGCAGCACACAATGATCACATTCCTCATGGAGAGTTGGTACATAACACATCTTAATTTCCTTTTCATCAACCTTTTCCCCTGTACTCCTTGCCTGCTCTCTCCATCCCTTGATCCCTTTCCCATTTACAAAAGTCCTATCTTCCTACTTCCTATTACCTTTCAGTTTGCTCTTTATTAGTACTTCAGGCTTCCCATATGAGAAAATCCATGTGATATTTAAACACATTTGTCTCATTTATTTTATTTAAACATTATGGCTTCAAGGTCCATCTATTCCAACATATGACTAATTTTTCCTTCTTTATGGCAGAATAGTACTCTATTGTGTATAGATATCACATTTTCTTTATCTGTTCATCTTGAAAGATTTAGCTATTATGAATTGTGCTGCTATAAGCATGGGAATGCATGTATCACTGTCACATGATGTCTTTAACTCTTTCAGGAAGATACATAGAATGAGAATATCTGGGTCAAAAAGAATTCTTAGTTTTACCTTTTTGAGGTATTTCTATATTTCCATAATGATTGTGCTGGACTACATTCCTTTCCCGTGTAGAAGAGTTTCTTTCACCCCAATAACAAGTTATTATTTTTTGATTGCTACATAATAACCATTCTTTCTGGAGTCAGATGGAGTCTCTCTGTGGTTTTAGGTTACAGATGTTGAATGTTTTTTCATGTATAAAATGGCCATATGTAATTCTTGTTCTGAGAAGTGTCTGTTCATTTCACCCACCCCCTTTTTTTTCACTGGGTGTTTATTTTGGAAGAGTCTATTTTTTTGAATTCTTTATATAATCTAGATTTTTTTCCTTTGTCTAGGGAATAGCTGGCAAAAACTGTTTTCCCCATTCTATAGTTTTATCTCTTCACTCTATTGCTTATTTCCTGTGATATCTTAAAAGTTTGCTCAGTGCAATTTCTTTTTGATATGATCCCACCTGTTGATCACTACTGAAGTATTTCTTGCATAATTGGGGTTGTGTTCAGAAAGCCCTTGCCTATGCCTGGGTCTTCAAGAGATGTATCTATTTTATCTTCTAGTAGATTTGTTTTAACATTAGATCTTTGATCTATTTTAATTTTAGCTCAGTACATGTGATAAATATGGGTCTAGATTCAATTTTCTACATGTGGATAGCCAATTTACCCTGCACCATTTGATAAGGAGGCTTTCCCCTGGAATTTTGTCTTTTCTCCTTTGTCAAAGATGAATGGCCCTGGAATTGTTTCTGCATCCCCTATTCTGTTATATTGATCCACAAGTTTGTTTTTTGCCAGTAACATACTCTTTTTATTACTGTAGCTT